GTCGGAGAGCACGGATGCTCTCGGCCGGGCCGGGGTGCCGAGGCCCCGGCTTGCCCCGCTGTCCGCTCGCGGGTCTGCACTGTTCCTCCTCCTGATGGCTTAGCGAGGGATAGGGGATGGGAGAGATGAGGGGTGGGTGTTTCCCCCTTGCAGACTGTGGCCTTTCCTGGGCTGACTCCGGTGTGTGGGCACCCCAAGGCGCAGGGAGCCTCCTCAGCTTCCCGTAGGGCTGCGGCACCCGTTGTTCCCTGCTCCTAGGTTTGCCTTGGCCCCATTTGGGCGACAGGACACAATTTCTTCTGCAGCACTTGAACCAGTCCTCGTGGTTTTCCCACTCGCTTCCGAGCCTGATGCATATTTCCCACGCAGCTGAACGGTGATCTTCATTTTAGGGGGGAAACTTCTCCCCATCACCACAAAACGAGCAACAAGCCCTGGTGCCCGGGCGAGGTTGCCAGCGTCGGTGTCGGCCCGGCTCCACGGGGTGCAGGGGAGCCCGCTGGCACCTACGTTTCCTCGCCACTCCAGTCTTTCTGCCTGCCTCCGTCTGGCCTTTGATATTCCTCGCCCCCTCCCGTTGCCGAAGTTCAGACCTGTTTACTCCAGCCCAGATCTCTGAAGTTCAAATGTACATGTGCTTCCCCCTCCGCTGAGTGACAGCTACAATGGAAATGTCTCGTTCGCTCCTGGTTTGCATATAATTACACCGGAGATGCAATATGTTTATGGCAGGAGAAAAACTACTTGTCTTTACGCTTGTTAAGGATATTAATTTAACCGCGATACAGCGCGGTTTAAAAGCTCTTTAGGGTGGATGGAATATTCCCCTCGCCGCCGTCTCTCAGCTCAGCGCGAGGGGACTTTTGTTGCTGTTATCCCGGGTTTGTTCTGCCTTTTCCTCGCATCCTCGGTGTAAGGCACAAGGGAAATCCACGGAGCCTCCGATCTGGAGCTCCTGGGGCCGTTGCTGAAACTTCACCTGCCCCTGGCCCGCTGCGGAATGTGCCATAAAGCGTGGGCACCCGCTGGGGACCGCGTTTTCCTCCTGCGCTGGAGGCCCGAGACCTCGCGGTCTCCTCCTGGCGAGGCTCTCCGGACCGCGCCGGGGTGCTGGGACGGGGCCGCGTTCATCCCCGGGATCCCCGGGAAGCCCGGCAGGGAGGTCCCGGCGGGCTCTGGGCACGGAGGGACCCCCAACGCTTCCCAGGGCATTTGAAATTTTTGCAGCTCTTAAGTTCCAAAAACACTTAAAAGGAAAACAAAAAACAAACAAAACAATACAAAACAAATCTAAAAACCAACCAACCAACCAAACAAACAAACAAACTAAAAAAAAACAAAAACAAAAACCCCAAAAAAACCCAAAAAGGTGGGAGAACTGCACAATATTTGTTCTTGACGTAAAGCACGGGGTCTTTCTTTGCCTTCCCCACACGTTGGGAGCACGGAGGGAAAAGGGAGCCTGGAGACTACTTTTACGGTTGTTGTTGTTTGCATGTTTGCAATTGAGATAGATTTTAAATGGAAGAGATGAGAGGTACCCCGACTTCTGGAAAATGAATTGAGTTTGGCCAGAAATACCACTGAATAAAAATGGAAATTACTGAATTTATAAAATAAAGTATAAAATACATATTTTTATATACATACATACACACACACACACACACGCACACACACATATATATATACACACACACATATTCCGAAAGCTCAGCAAGGGAAAAACGATCATAGGCTACACAGACAATGCCTTTAAAAAAAAAAAAAAAAACCAAACAAACCAAAAAAACCCCACCTCGTTTTATACAATTTTTGCTCCCCGAACTGGCAAATTCCAGTCAGGATGCGACGGAGTGCAAATAGTGACAGAACACCAGTGCGGATGCTGCCGGGTGCACACACCCAGGCAAAGTTGGCAGAGTAGAAGTGGGAAACGTATAAAAAGATTTATAGGTTAATTGATGTAGCCCAATCCGCAATACACAGCTGCTAGGCAGGCTGTGGCCAGCAAGCCGTCCCGAAACGGATATTCCTCGTCCAAAATTACGATTATTTCGTTTTTCTCCCCAATCCCAGCCCCTCGGGATATTTTTCTCGAAGCACCGCCGTCGCGCCATTGCCGATGAGATTTTTTTTTTCGGCGGAAAACAACTTAAATTTATTTTTTTTAATTCTTCTGCCTCTGTGGAGCCACAGTCGCTCTTTCTCGCCACGCCGGAGGGTTTCCCAGCCCACACCCGCGCCTCCCTTCCCACGCCCGCCGGTCGGGGCAGCCGCAGCCCCGCGTGGTGTGAGCACCTGGGCGGGCAGCGCCGCTCCGCCACCGGCCCGGCCCGGCCCGGCCCGGCCCGGCGCGGCGCGTCCCACCCACGGGGGACACAATGCCGCACGTGAGGCCTCTGCACAAACAGGGGTCAGTCGCCCTCGGTCGCTCCAGGTCGGCGACTTCAGAGGCTCTGCCCTCCCCGACGCTCAGCTGACGGGAATAATTGAAGTTCCAACCCCTTCCCCACGGCCTTTTTTTTTTTTTTTTCCCTCTTTTTTTCTTTTTTTTTTTTTTTTTTTTTTTTTTTTTTTTTTTTTTTTTTTTTTTTATTGTGGGTTGGTTGTTGTCGAGAAAGAAAACCCTACACGTGCGGGAGGTAAATATAATTAATGACCCCGGCGCAGCCCTCCGGAGACAGGCAGGTAGAGCCTCAGCGGAGCAGCAAGGCGGCTGCGGGCCTCGCCGCGTCGCCGCCGGGGGCCGATGTGACCGGCTACCCCTGGCCCTGTCCCGGCTTCCCGGCGCCCGGGCTCCCGGCCGAGCCGCGGCGAGGGCTGCGATCCCGCCGGCTCCCCCGCCGCCCGCGAGCAGCCGCGGCTGGAGCGGGGAGAGCAAGAACGCGGCCCCGACCGCCCCGGTGGGTGCCCCGGTGGGTGCCCCGGTGGGTGCCCCGGTGGGTGCCCCGGTGGGTGCCACGGTGGGTGCCACGGTGGGTGCCACGGTGGGTCCCCGCGCTCCCTCCTTCTGCTCTGTTGCCATCGTGCACTAACGGCAGCGGCGGACTCACCTTCCAACTTTGGGACTGTTCTTGGCGGCTGTGGCCTGGGTTTTTTTTTTGTTTGACGGGCACTGGTGTTATCTCTCGGGGAGATTTTATATCGGTGGCTTTTTTTTTGTCCCCTTTCTTTCTTCTTCTT